GCGGCCTCCTTCCGGAGGGCGTCGCCCTCGTCACTGAGGGGCTGTGGCTTCCCGGTGGTGCTTCTCAGGCCCCGAGGCCCAGCACGGCCGTGGTGGGGGCTCTCGGGCCTTTCCTGCCAGGCTCCGCTGAGGTGATTGCCGTCCTTTGGGCCTCTGGGCTGAACAGCTTGATGGGGTCCCAGGTGCCAGCCGCATCCCGGTGCCGTGACCCAGGCCCCATCTTCGGCGAGATGGCTCCCGCGGTCATTGAGGATACGCTGATCCAGCTGGCTACGGAGAACGAGCAGTACCTGAGCGAGCTGCCGGACCAGGCCGGGTGCTTCAAGGAGACGCAGATAGTGGGTGAGATGCAGTTTCCCAGCTACAGCTAACTCCTGAGACGGTTAGGAGCTGCATAATTAGCTTCAGCTGACTGAAGCGAGGGACTGTTGCGTTTTTTCTGCAGAATTTATATTCCTTTTGTCTGAAAAATGGCATGTGGACCAGTTGGCAAGGTACCAGGCAGTAGAGTTACTTGAAAGGTAATAAATATCCTGAATGCTCAGTGCGTTTCTCATTTCTCTCACATGGTTATGCTGCGCGTGCTCTATACCGCTCATTCAGACAATGTATAATGGGTTTTTTGGTGTTTAGAGCTTTGTCTCTGTGCTCATTTAATTCAAATTAACAGCTGTCCGTATATTCTGAGTACATACAGAACTGCTTTTCTTCCTTTTCCTAGCAGAAGAGAACTGTTTGCTGAGCAATTGTAGTTTTTGTAGGTTTATGATCAAGCAGGTAGAACAAATCCGTAAGTCCTCCAGAGAGAACGTCAGAAGTCGTGAACGAGGACAAGGCCGCAGCTGGAGCTCTCCGAAAGATCGGATTTATGACACCTTTGTCCTGCGACTTGTGTCATGCATTCAGCTTGCAAGCAAACTTTCCTTACACTACAATGTAAGCCAGCTAAGCCTTCTCCTATAGTTTTTTTTTTCAGCAGTGTAGTAAACTATTTAGCATCTCTCTTAAAAACAGATTTCCTTTCTAAAAGACAGTAGTGATAGTGAAATGTAAAGGATACTGAAATGGAGACCTAAACCTCTTCTGTTTAGGGCAGGTTAGTTGTCACTCATCAAGTAACAGCTTCTCAGGATATTTCCAGTACTGGGGAAAAAGGTACAGGCAGCGGGAAAACTCGTCCTGTGGCTGTTGAAAATGGTGTGGCTGCAGAGGGTTCGCAGCCGCCTGGGGAAGGTTTGCAGAGCAGAGGAAGCCTGCGGGAAAGACGGGCCGAGCCGGGCTTCTCATGGCAGGCACAACCGATAGATTGGGGGCATGGAGCGTCACCACTGCAGTGGCTTGCGCTGAAATTCAGTGGGAGGAGTAAAGCAAGGAAGCACTTTGTTCTTGGCAAGTGCCTTATTGCCTAGAAGATAATTTGTCTTTTTTTTTTTTCCCCCCTCTTCAGGTAGTTAACAGTGATACAGCTTTAAAATTTCTGCAGTCCTTAAAATACTCATACACCAAACAGGAATTACTTGAGTCGGAGCTTGCCGTGTTAAAAACTCTGCACTTCCAGATCAACGTGTCGTCTCCTTTGGCTTATGTGGAATTGCTTCTAGAGGTTTTAGGTAAGAGTATTAATAGGAGAGAATGGGAAAGAATTTTTTTTAGGACCGGAATGGAGCTATTGCTGATGTGAACCAAAATGCCTCATATTACAGATTGTTGCACACATGAAGGCACATGAAACTTTCCAGATTTCCAGGGCTTTACTTTTCAGAGAAGAACCTTGTCTTTAGTGGAACCCGATGAATGTTGTTGGACAGCCAGTCGTGACTCATTCAGTAAAAGAGTTTAAAACCCCCAAAACCTAGTGTAAGGCCAGATTTTCTACAGTGCCTTACCATTTTCTTTGCCCAGGTGTGACAACCTGTATTTCAAAATGAGTGAAATTATACTGAGATTGAGAAAGCCTGTGACATTCAGAAACAAAAGGCAGTTGTCACCAGAAATCTCTGTCCCTCGCTTACAGGAACTAACACTTCTTTCTAATCTGGTTTAATGACTCAAAACATGGCTGATTACCTCTGATCTCCGTGCTAGGACATAACGGCTGCTTGTTTCCTGCAAAACCATTACACCAGATGTGTGTGCAGCTCCTGGACTTCTCCTATCTTACAAGAGATACCATCTACGACACTTTGCTGAAGATTGCCATCGAAAATTCGACACCAAGCAAACTGCAGGTGTAAGTAGCTTAGGTGACTATTGCTTAAAATAACTGTTTGAAATTAAAACCCTAAAAGTAACATAGCATAATTCACATGATGCCATTTTTTGGGGATGTTTTAAAAAATTTTCATTTGGGGGGCTTTCAGTGTTGTTTATTGATCTTTTAATATACCAGTTCAAAGCGATGTGCTTCACCACGTTTGCTTTAGGGGCAAGCTGGGAGAGTGTTTAACTTAATTGTGAAAGTCCAGCTTCAGGACTGTGAAATCCTGAAATACAGTATCAGGCTTTATTTGGACTGAAAGACTGAAGAAGCTAACGTGTCCGTAGGCTGTATGGCAATTACAGAAGTAGGTGGTTTTGGACTGTACAATAGCATCATTTTACACCAGAAGACGCTTTTACTTCTGCAGAGCAAAGTTTTTGACAGTAAAGGAAGATTTCATGCTCTTGGCTGTTGGAATCATCAGCACAAGTGTGTTCATACTAAACCCTGGGCACTGGAAGCAGGTACCATCGCCTCTAAACACATGAGCTCTATGTGAAAGAGGTGTGAAGGTTGTTTATACGTTTAAGCACAGCAAGGAGACTGGTAGACTCTACTGGGAGTAGCGTGAGGGAGGGGATGTCTTTCAGGCTTTTCAGC